GTGAACAGAGTGATAAATAAAAGGAAAAACAGTGTAAACTGTGACAGTATGATGGCATCTTCAACTCCCAAGTCCATGCTGATAAGCAAACTGCAGTGGGTCCTGATATGTGCTTGTTTGTTTAGTCAAGTGGGCCAGCAGAAGTCTCTCTAGGACCTTCATGATGTGGGATGTCAGGGCAACAGGTATATAGTCATTGAGGACTGATGGGTGAGGTTTATTTGGCACTGGAACAAGGCAGGATGTTTTCCACAACACTGGAACCTTCTTCTGGGTCAGGCTAAGGTTGAAGAGGTGCTGCAGAACTCCACAGAGCTGCTCTGCACAGACCTTCTGGACTCTGGGACTGACACCATCTGGACCTGCAGCCTTATTCCTGTTCAGTCTCTCCAGCTGCTTCCTCACCTGACTTCTGGAGATGCAGAGGGGGAGGCAAAGGAGGTATCAGCATCTTCTGTTTTGGTTGAAGACCAATATGTAGAAGAAGAAGGGTCCATGACTGAGGTGATAGATAAAATATTTGAGGTGTGACAGGACAGCCTTTGGTCAAAGGAGGGTGGTATATCTGTTTGGCTGTGGGCAAGAGAGGAGGATGCTAAGCTTGTTCCTGAACTGAACCTATTGAAGAACATTTTCAGTTCATTGGCTCTGTCCAGGCTTCCATCCTTCTGATCCTCCTTCTGCTTGAAGCCTGTGATCTTCTTCATCCCTGACCACACCTCTCTGATATTGTTCTGCTGGAGCTTGCTCTCCAGCTTCTTCTTGTACACCTCCTTGCTGTTTCTGATCTTGACTTTTGATTGCTTCTGTGTACTCCTCAATAATTCCCTCTCTCCCTCCCTGAATGCTCCTTTTTTCTGGTATAAAAGTTCCTTCAGGTCAGTGGTGATCCAAGGTTTGTTATTGGGGAAGCATCTCACTGTTCTGGTGGGGATGGTGTTGTTTACACAGAAGTTTATATAGTTGGTCACACACTCAATCATGGCATTGATGTCCTCTCCATGTGACTGGCACAGTGTAT